AGCAGGGCTGGTAGCAGGTCACTTTTTAGTAGCCTGCACAATGTCACTTTTTAGGCACAATGTCACTAAAGTTACTATTTCTTAAAATTTAGTCTCTAAAGTCACGTTTTTTTACGGCTAATATTGAAAGCGAAGACCCGAACGCAATGCTAGGGGAAGCGGAACGGTAGTGGCAGTGGAAAGCCCGATCTGAGTAAGCTTACTTGTCGGGTAGGAAACTAGTTACAACCAAATTGACTCTGGTTAGACATCTTGGCTTCATTTGTGACAACTGCTAAACATTGCCGGTGTCATTCCGCTTCCGCCCACAAGGGGACGTCATTCAATTTCAAAAATTCAAGAGCAGGTTTTTTTCGGTCATTACACTCTATTTGCCTACCACAGTTGCCAGACACATTTTCATTGACAGAATTTCGGTTTTAAACGAAAAAACTGCTTTTGAATTTCCAAAAAAAATAATGACATACACTTTCCCCCTAAAAGAATTTGCATCTAAAAATCTCATCAAAACGCTTGGTTTCGCAACAAATTTGTTTGCCTCGGGCTGAAAGTCTCATAAATAAAGACATCAAGCCAGCCAACAAATTCGTGTTAGGCCGATACCATAGAGAGAGCGAAGAGAAGCAAAGAGGCGAGCGAACGAATTTAAGGAATTAAATTTTTATGTATTGTTCCATAAATCTACGCAAATAAAACCACACAAAGTTATTCCAAATTAGTTAGGCTTATGGCCAAAATCTAGAGCACTAGTGTCATAACTGACTCACATACCCTAGACATATTTTGCATGTATTTTATCTTAAACATTAATCCAGATTATATAGCTTAAATTAATTTATCTCGAAATAGTCATAAACTTATCACAAACTTTTTTAGGTTTCGAAAAAAATCTGCTCGAAATTCTGTTCCTGGCATTTCTATTTCGTGATCTTGAAAGTTTAGAAAGGCCTAGACAAATTTCCAAGCTCTACAGATATTCGCAGGGACAAGAACTTTGTAAAATTTTTGAAGCCCCTTTACTTTAATATCTATGTAAACATTGAAAAACAATATGTCGCAGAATCATGAGTTTTTTTATTATGTTCATTATATTGTATCTTTTATAAGTCCAGAATCAACAAATTTCCAAGTCCAGATTTCAGTAAAAAAAATCCTGTCAATCTAGATCATGAAATGTTTTCTATCTTTCTAAAATCATTCCAGGCCGCAAAATTTTCTTAATTTGATTGTCGTAAGTCCTAGCATTGAATAAATAATGTTGATTACATTCCAGAATCTTACGATTTTTTATCAAGATCGAGATTTTAAGGCCTAGAGATACATGCAAAATTGTCTATGTCATTGATCTCACCATCTTATAAAAAATCCTCATTACAGAATAATGAGATTTTTTTTCTTATATTGCGATCTAGAAAAGTTGCCTTGGTCCATAGTTATAAAAATTTGTTAATGTTTGAGGTTTTACAGAAGTTTCAGCATCCAAAATCTTCAAAATTGTTTGTCCTTGAACTGCCAAAATTTGTCTAAATCCGAGATTTATTTGTTTCAACAATTCACGTTCTGAATCGAAAAACAATTTAGTGTTTGTTTGAAAAAATCGTGGTGATGATGATGGTCCCACCTCTTACCCCTACAAAGGTTTGAGCTGGACGATTTATCTTTAAGATAATTGAATATGACATTTTAACCAGGTTGGCAAACAAAATCGAACTGGTTTCAGTTACAGATATAGATTCCCTCTAAAGTTTACAGTTGCTTCACAGCGATATAAATGTGGAAAAGCTCAGGCGTCCACCTCTTAGTTCGCCTTTTTGTCCACCTAAAATATTCATAAGTATTACAAGCAATCAAGAGTTAATGAACAATCAACAAAGCATCCTATTACACTAGTAACCCCGCAATCTGATGCTATCATAATTTTCAGCAATGTCAGGAATGCTCACGAACCCCTAACATTTGCCAGAAAACTTACTACTAACTCAAGGTATCTTTCAAATAAGCTTCAAAATTGCATTTTTTTTTTATCAAATGTTAAATTCAGTCCTCTATATCCGTAATACGCGCGCGAGGCTCAAACCTTTGTAGACTACTTTTTGTTTTAATTAATCTACTATAAAATCAAATATTAAAAATCCATCATCACCCTCGTGGCGAACAGAAATAGTTTTTGCAGTGCTACAATAATTATTAAAAAGTCGTTATGACAGCTATCCATATAAAATAATCCGTTAGAGATAACTTCGTCAAGATACATAATTTGTCAATTCATAAAAAAAATCACTGGATAACTGTTCAAAAGACAGTTTTAACGTGTGAAATGCAGTGTCTTTTAAATTCTTTAAGTGTTGCTAAACGTTTGATATGTCTAGGCATCGAATTGAAAACATTTATTCCTTTATAATATAATGAATTTTGTGAAGCACAAGTCAAGAAATGTGGTGTTCTTATATCAACCGCGTTTCTAGTATTATATCTATGAAAGTCACTTCCTCTTTCAATTCGATCACACAAATATCGAGGCAGCAAACCGTTAACTACTTTAAAAATGAACACCATAGTCAAATATACAATTCTTTGCTTCACCGACAACCATTGTAAGGCGTCTAACATCAAAGTTGAGGAAGTGAATCTATTACATCTCAAAATCAAACGCATTATTTTATTCTGCAAGCGCTGTAATCTCGATATTTGTGTTGCATTGGCCAGAAATAAAATGGAAGGGCAAAAGTCAAGATGAGGAGAGATGATTGATTTGTATAGCTGTATTTTACTGGCAATAGTTAAATCGTTTTTCAGTCGACATAGAATTCCATACTTCTTGGCAATTTTCTTGATGACATTGTCAATGTGAGAGTTGAACTTAAGTGTGTCATCAATAATCACGCCAAGATATTTAATCTCCCGAACGCGATCAATAGTCTCATCATCAATTACAACAGAGACGTTCTCATTTACTCGATTCCGCGAAATTACCATAAATTTAGTTTTACTTGTATTCAATTTTAACTGCTTATACTTCAACCATCTACTTAGAGAACGCAAATCTTCATTCAAGTGTAAAACGGCATCATCTAAATCCTTAGCTGCAATGAATAACACAGTATCATCTGCAAAAAGATTAATGTCGCAAAATCGTAAAACACGTCGCAAGTCATTAATATACATAATAAATAACAGGGGCCCTAATACACTTCCCTGGGGCACTCCAAGATTATTCCCCACGGGACTGGAAACAGAATCATTAAAAACAGTCCGTTGAGTTCTGTCAGACAAATAGCTTTCAAACCATTTATATGCAGTACTCGTAATTCCAAAGCGCTTGATTGATCTTAACAATAAGGGCCTAGAAATTGTTTCAAAAGCGCGTTTAAGATCCAAAAAAACAGCAACAATCGTATCTTTACACTCCAAGTTATTTTTCCACTTCGCTAATACCAAATTCAACGCGGTTTCACAAGAATGACCTTCCCGATATCCCGATTGTTCTGGTATCAACAAACTATTACTATTTAAATACTCCAACAGCTGACCTTTAACAACAAGTTCTAAAATTTTCTCTAATGTGTGCAACATGTTGATGGGACGAAACTCTTCGGCTTTAATCGTTCCAGCAACTTTTTGAATAGGGACCACTAAGGATTCCTTCCAAATTTGTGGCACATGTCCAGTTTGTAATGATTCATTAATAAGGTCCAGCAAGATGTGGCCAATGACATGAAAGCAATCTTGAATAACTCTAGCATTAACATTATCTACTCCAGCCGATTTTCCTAACGAAAAACAAATAACTCTAAGTTCATCTAATGTGATTGGGTGAAAAACTTCAAATCTACAACTACTATTAACTGGCTGTTTTATTTCGTCAGGCTCATCGACCAATTCAATAGATTGATTAATCAATGAAACGCTATCTACGAAATAATCATTAAACTTAGCTGCAATTACTTGTTCTGACTGTTCTAATGTGCCATTAAAAGTTATGGACCGCGGTTTGCAATTACTAGGTTTTAATAAAGATTTCAAAATTTTCCATAACTCTTTGCTGTTGTTTTGATGCTGATCAATCTTCCTTTGAACATATTCACAACGAGTTTTCTTTATCGATTGTGAATACTTATTACGCGCGATTGTGTACCTAGTCCAATGATTGTCATTATTAGATCTACAAAACTTTTTGTACAATTTGTCCCTTTTCTGTTTAAGACTATGCTGTTAACAATGGTCAACGGGGAACAAATTCTACATTCGTACCCCTAGGTACAAACATCACCCCTGCTTTAAATTCTTCATCTACCTCGGAGCTACCTATGCTACCATTGCATCAATAGGTAGACATCAAAATTCTAGCCAACATAATTCTAACGGAAAATTCGATAATTTTGACTTAGGAAGCATTACTGCTCCTAAAATGGATTTTTACAGAAATCATTGACATGATTACTGATATGCTTAAAACTAACTCCATGTTTGATGCTATTCCAACTGGAGTAAAATTTGCGAACAATATCGTCATGACTTTGAAATTCAGCAGGGACAATATAGTGTCCGTCACCCTATACCGCTACCATAGGTACCAACTTGTGTTCGTTGATGATCGGTAGTTAGATTTCGACCCTTGTCATCGTTCTGTTTATGGCTCATAGACTGGAGACGAACAAGGATTCTCAAACTAATAGTGAATTTGTTTAGTATCGGGGTTGGAATCAGTTCCAAAGTGCGAAACCGAACTTTTTGTTAGTGCGAACCTCAACCTGAGCTAGGTTTTGAAAACAAACGATCAAACTGACGTTTGCCAGAAAACAAGCAGACCCGATCCAGGTTGGAACTGAATAATAAACAAATTCGCTATAAATAACACACCATTTCCTATTAATTTAAATGTTCAGGATGTCCCGCCAAGATTCACAAAAATCAACCGTTCATTATAATGTACCGCTTCAACTTATACCGAACCGAGCGCTCTCTTTAACATATCTCTGTTTTCTTCTCGCCCGCCACAGATCCCTCTGAATCACCAACCCGGCTGTGTAACTGCAACCCAGAACCGCGCACCGTTCACCGTGGCGTCGTTGTTGCCGTCGTCCGTTGCCGTCGAGGAAATGGGCGAAGTTGGAGTGGCTGCCAGCGAGCATCCCCCGTCGTCGTCCGAAAAGGTCAAGGAAAATGGCGAACTCAACGGTACCGGCGAAGGAGAAGAAGAGCAGCCACGTGAGCAAGCGCTGAGCACTGGGCTCGTCATCGCAAAGGTGTCATCCGGTGCGGATGAAATACACAACGCAAAGATTCACACAGTCAGCGAAGGCAGCGAGGGGGACGAGAACTCGCAGACATCTCAACCGATTAGCAGTAGCAACGGACAAACCGAGGGCGAGGGGGACGAAACTTCACAGGATGTGGCAGGTGAAGAAACGGAAGAAAGTAGACCAGAAATGGTACGTGTAGATAATGATAATCAGGATACGGTGGAATCGATGGATATGGACGACGAGGAAGAGGTTCGTCGCGGAGGAAAGTCCAGAAGCGTTAGTGAGAATGGAAATGATCCACTGGAGGGTAGAGGCGTTGCAAATCCGATCGATGAGGACTCAAAGTCGAGAAGTGGCGACGAAGCGATGGATGTCGATGCATCAACGAATGGTCACAGCACAGCGGATAAGACAGACGATAATGAGGTGATTGATGATGATAGTGACAAACCGGTCAGTATTAATTCCGATTCCGATTCCGAGAATGAGGATGATCGGGTTCCGTCTGTTAAGAACGTGGTGACTGATAGTATGAATGTTAATTCCAAATCGAACGATGGCGTTTCGATGCCCAGCAAGTCGAATGGGAATAATGCCAAAAAGCAGCAGAATGGTGACTGTGATGGCGATGTGACGATCCTAAGCGATAAAGAAGAAGACTGCGTGGTGATCGATGATGAAGATGGAGATACAAATTCGAGCAGTGCACCTAGTCAAAAGAAAAGTGAAGCTGCAGTAGTATCTCCGCGGAGGAGTTCCAGGGTGCGGAAGAGTATGCTACCACAGGATATTTCCACTATCGACGACGATGACGATATTGAAGAAATCATCGATGATCCGCTGAATATCGCTGCAGCGAAGAAACCACGATTATCCATTAATCAATCCCTGCAGCAGAATTCCTTTAAGGGTCAGCTATCGATGACGCCCCAACCTCAAAAGTCACTTCTCGCCAGCAACCAGAACAGTGCCACGAAAGAACCCACTCTGGTAATAATCGATACCAATACCCTGATGAACCGTACCGGGGGACACACGTCAATCACAGCCAGTCCGATGACGTCAAAGTCCATGAACAGTTCTTACTCGTCACTACCCACGGGCATTTCACCACACAGCTCATTCAATTCGCCTCGAAGCGTCATCAACCCGGTGGCAGCGGCTGCTAATCTCATTTCGAAATCTAACCCGCCCCCGTTGGCCCCTGTCACGCCACTGTTACCTGCTCTCACGGACGACATGTTTGTGTTAGAAGCACCGTCCTTCATCGTTCCGTACATCTACGAGAAACCTCCCCCGGAAAATCTCAAACAAATAGTGAGCGAACTGGAAGCAAAGATCAGGGACATGCGTAAGAAGTTGGAAGAGGCGGAGAAGGATGAGGACAGTAAGGTTGACGACGAGAACAGCCAAGGTTCGACGGCGGAAAGTGCAGAAAAGAAGTCGTCTACCAGCGAGCCTGACGCGGAGTCAGAATCGGATAAAAAGAAAAAGTCCAAGCGAAAAAGGAACAACGATGACGATGATGATTGGGACGAGCTGGAAACCTCAACGGACGATGAAGCATCGGACGAAGAGTCCAAAACAAAAGTTCTCATCAAGGAAGTCAAATCGGACATTGAGATGATCAAGGAACACATCATTACCCCCGCAAAGGATGATCTGACCAGTACAAGTAGTACTTCTATTAGCAGCAATGCCCAGACTGATCCGAAGAAATCGGAGAATTATTTCGAAAACCCGCTAGGAAAGTTCTTTATGAATATTGGCATTAACCTGGTGCAGGAATACGTACAGACCGATCTGCTGCGGCAGCAAAAGAAGAAACGTGACCGCGAGGGCAGACCATCCGCCAGTACTCAGATGGCCATCAATTCCCTGATTAAAAACCTAGAGTTCAGCAAGGAGAACAACAGACCGTTCAAGTTTGAAATCAAAAGGTGCGAGTACTGTCCTTTCAAGTCGGAGTCAGCGCTGGCGATGGCCCACCATTATGAGACGCCGCACATGCGCAACTACATCTATAAGTGTAACTTCTGTTCATACGAAACCCGCCCCCCGCACGACATCCTCTACCACATGGAAGCTGTGCATAACATCAAAGGTCGCCTGGAGAAGGCATCTATGTACCACGCGTGTCCAAACTGCCCGTTCGAAGATAATGGCAAATCGAAACTTGCCCGGCATGCGGTGGCGTGTGCGAAGAAATTCCGACCTGAAATCAACCTGAACCCACCTCTTGATTGGGAACCGCCCGCAAAGATTCCACGTATCAAACCCAAACATGGATTGGTCGGAACGGCCACCGCTTATCAGGTTGGTGTCATCGAAAATTTACCCACTTTATTTGATCGTTATCAACTGAATTTTTATTACTTTCCCCTTCCGCAGGCCATGACAGCACAGCAACAGAAGAATATGGCCCTGGCCAACCAGCGGGTACAGGCGGTCAACAGTATCAATCCGGTCAACATCAACAACCTTACGGCGGCGGCTCAGGCGGCTGCCCTGCGAGCCCGTGGTGGACGAGTGCAACCAATTCCGCAGGCAACGTCCATCAACGTACTCCGAACGGCGGCCAACGTAGCTTCGATGCGTACGTCTATGTCATCCGGAGGAATGGTAATACCTAATAACTTCCAGCTCTCATCAGCGGCAATCGCCGCTGCGGCCAATAAGTTTTTGCCGGTAATTTCCTAGTGTATTTTGTTATGTTTTTATTGCTTTCGTTTGACGAATTCATAACGATTTGGATTAATAGCACTTCGTGGTGAAATTGTTGTGTTTTCTGGGTTGTTTTACTACATGACATTTAACAAGGATTTTATTTCGGTGAAAACACGTTGGTAAAGGATTAGATCTGATCAACGCCGTTATTTTCTATTGTTCTTTCTTTCTATATCTATTATTTACACCGATTGTACAAAATTTATTCTGCACTATCACAAAGATTCCGAACGCCGCTGGACGATCTCTTCTTTCCAGTTCTAACGCATCGGTGACTATTCAGGTTGGTTTTCTTCTGTTAGTTAGTTCTGTTTTTAGTTCTGTTTACTGGCGAAGGTATCAAATGGATCATGTACACAGAAAGGGCAAAAAAAAAACTAACTCGTTTAACTTCACTCCCCTTTCTTGAACAATAGAACTCCATGGGTATGAAGCCCGGAATGAAACCCGCCCAGCAGCCTAGCATCTCCATCACACCCCTACCGCGACAATCAAGCGCAACGAATATGGCCGTAGCAGGAGCACTATCCAAACTACAGGCAGCCGGAACTTCTGCCGTGAAGCCAGGTCAAAACCCAGCCGGCAACAAAACCGCATTTGTCGTATGCGAAATCTGTGATGGTTACATCAAGGATCTGGACCAGCTGCGCAATCACATGCAGTGGATACACAAAGTCAAGGTAACGTAACTAATTTAAACTTTGTAAAACCCTATGCACATGAATTAACCTTGACCCTCTGAAACAGATTCATCCGAAGATGATTTACAACCGGCCACCGCTAAACTGCCAGAAGTGTCAGTATCGCTTCTTCACCGATCAAGGCTTGGAGCGACATTTGCTCGGATCGCATGGACTGGTGACAAGCTCCATGCAGGAGGCCGCCAACAAGGGCAAAGACGCCGGACGTTGTCCAGTTTGTGGACGGGTAAGCTTTCCTAAACATGTCTTTCCGCACACATGTCCACTAAACCGTTAACTAATCCTTCAGGTATACCAATGGAAGCTGCTGAACCACGTATCCCGGGATCACAACATGACCCTGAAGCCGGCCCACCTCTCGTACAAGTGTACGGTTTGCACGGCCACGTTCGGAATGTACAAACAGTTTGAAAGTCACGTATACTCAGCGCACAGTACGGTCGCGAAGAAAGCACTGGACAACAAGAAGCCCCAACCGGGTGGCAGTAGCAGTACGGCGCCGATGCGTGGCGGTGCCGGTCCGATGGGTGGAGGCGATTCGCTGCTGAAGCCGTTGAAGATCAACGACGAGATCACGATCATACCGCAGCCGACCGCCAAGGCGTCGCAGAAACCGATTGAAATTGAAAGTCATGTTATAGGTGAGTGATTGAACCTTGATAACAGGGGGCTAATAGTAACGTTTTTTCCAAAAGCCTACAGCTTAGCTTAGTCCAAAACAAAGCTTTTCACGGCAGAAATTCAAGAATAAACGGGTGCAGCTATATGATGTTCATAATGATGGTTGGTTTTGTATGTTAACCATTTCTTTTTGACTTAAGGCTGGTTGATGAACAAACTGAATATAGGTCACAGTGGATGTTGCTACAGACTACAAAATTACCAAGCTGGTTCGAAAACAGTTGTAGTTGGTATATTAGATTTAATGTGGGATTGTGATATTAAGATAGAATAAATAGAAGTTCCAGATCAACATTAAAGGAGGTGTTCCATTTGGTATTTTTTTTCCCTTGATTTGTTTTCCGTGCTGAGCACCAATGCTACCGACGCCATGGAGGCAGCTCCCACACCTGGACCTTTCCTATCGACAACTCATGGAACCGGGGACCAACGGCTATACTTTCCTTCCGAAGGAAGGCGTGATCAGAGATGTTATGCCTCAAAACATCCCGGCGGCGCCGACTGGGATTGAACCCAGGCCTGCTGGGGTGAGAGGTAATCACATTTGGTGAATTTCTACTTAAATTTGACAGATGGAAAATTTTCAATAGCCCTGCTATTATAGCAGACCTATTAATTTCTGATAGACGTACACCTTAATACCTTAATACGTAGACCTTCTCGAAGAGGGATTTTCGAACATTTTAATTTATTTTCGAAGTGTCAAATTTAAGTGACAATTCACCAAATGGAACACAGCATAAATGTGGTCATGGCCCCTATTTTTTGTAATTGTGAATGGTGTGAGCCTCACGAAATCAGTGGAATAGTGCTGTATGCTCGATTTTTTTTTTAATTTGCGTGTCGCTATTTGAAATAGGGTAAATGATAGCTTCGGCACCCATTGACAGTTTTTGGCAACCCACATTTAAAGGTTAATTTCGCTGTATTTTCTCACCACAACACTTCACTGAATGTATTTAAACGATACCTTAGTATTTCACCTTTCACCAATCTGATTACATTTTTACGACCAAGAAAACCTGTTATGTCAGGTTTTGCTTCAAATGAAATATATGGACTACAAAATACGGCAGATTTCGAGTTTCTAATAATAGAACAGCTGGTTAACACGCAGTTCAAATGGAAAGGTTGCCGAAGAAAAAGAGGTTGCCGACAATAGTCACACTCACCTGAAAAGTTTGGAGCGTTATCAAAACGTTTTCAAACCGTTCTGGACAAATCTTTTGATTGGAAAGGATAGTATAGCAAGCAGCAGACAAATATAAACAAACCAATACATCATATGTGTGCGAGTCGCTGAGAAATTGCTGATACGTAAATTCCCCTATCTAAGAATAGGGGAAACATATAAAACTTGACGAATTTGTTATAAAATGTTGGGAGAAAATGATTTTTGATATCGTACGTCGTCGTGTGCCTAATAATGACGCACTAACTTTCCTGTTTTCCAAATTTGACGCATTAAGGGGAAATGGATGTAATGTCGGCCTAAATGCCCCTAATTTGGGCCCATACATAAATTCAGCAATCGACTATATTTTCAATAGCGACCAAAAATATCCATTAAAGGGTGTCCACGATGAAATTGCCACACTATGAAATTGCTCTAACTTTTTAACCGTTGGGTAGAATTTAATGAAAATTTGGGTGGATTTAGTTCATAGTGCATTATTTACATCCTGCAAGTTTTAAAGTCCTGTGATCAAAACTCGCGGAAATGGAGTCGAAAGAACAGCTCGTGCGTGATAAAATCTTGCGCATTCATCACGAGAACAAGGATCTCTCGCATCGTTCCATCGCTAAAACGTTGGGAATCGCGAATTCCACGGTGTCGCGAGTGATTAAGCGGTTCGAGGAACGGTTGACCACCGATCGGAAGCCCAGAAGTGAAGGAAAAAGTATTCCGTACAACACCAAAAATCACAACCGCGTAGTTGGGGCCTTCAACCAAAATCCGAACGCCTCCGTTAGGGATGTGGCTAAGAAGCTGCACCTAAGCCGAAGTTTTGCCCAGAAGGCCAAAACTAAGGCTGGGCTTCGAACGTTCAAGGTACAAAAGGTCCCTAATCGCGACGAGAAGCAGAACAAGTCCGCCAAAACCCGTGCCAGGAAGTTGTACCTCAACATGCTGACGAAAGTTGAATGCTGCATCATGGACGACGAAACATATGTGAAGGCCGACTTCAAACAGATCCCCGGCAACCTGTTTTTCACAGCCAAGGATAAGTTCAGCGTACGGGAGCATGTCCGCACTCAGAAGATGTCCAAATTTGCGAAGAAATTCCTGGTTTGGCAAGCCATCTGCACGTGCGGGAAGCGGAGTGCACCTTTCGTGACCCAGGACACGATGAACGGACAGGTGTACATAAAAGAGTGCCTCCAGAAGCGGCTGCTTCCTCTCCTGAAGGCCCACAACGTCCCAACAATCTTCTGGCCGGATTTGGCCTCATGCCACTACTCCAAGGACGTGCTGAAGTGGTATGCGGACAATAAGGTCAATTTCGTGCCGAAAATGTTCAACCCTCCCAACACTCCGGAGCTCCGCCCCATCGAGAAGTACTGGGCGATTATGAAGCAGCACCTTCTTAAACGACCTAAGGTAGTGAAGACAGTCGAGGAACTGAAGAAAGTATGGGTTTACATGCAAAAAACGGTTGATTCACAGGTTGTGCAGAATCTTATGGCCGGGGTTAAGGCCAAGGTGCGGGCATTTGCGTATGGACTGTAAATAAAATACGAGTAAAATGGTAAAATGAAGTTTAATAGTTATTTCTCAATCCCTGAAAATTTGATGGCAATCGGATGAAAACTCGAATTTTGCGAATCAATTTTGTGTGTTGCAATTTCATCGTGGACACCCTTTAGTACCGTCCCTTAGACCCATAGGCCAACATAAGAGCCATTTCCCCTATGAATATATCAACTATGATGGATTCTATAAGATTTTATTTAATACGTTGCGGGTAGATAACATTATCATATTTAATTAATGAGTATGGCCATTTCGGAACAGATTTAGACCATGTCGTAGACATAGATTTATCAAAGAGCATAACCGTGTTAAACTTCTTCTTTTTATTTTGCTTTATAATAGAGACTTTCAGCCCTAGCTGGTTCGTCTCTTTGAAGGCGAGGGACTCCCAAATGCGTCCCCAAAAAAAAATACATAGTGTTAGTTACAGAGTTTAAGGATCTCAGATTTCTGTATCAGCTGTTGTAAGAGTAAGAGCAGTTAAATAAGTTGTGATTAATTTCCGAGAGAGGGTCAATGTTCGTAGCCTGCGGAGTTGTCGTCGTCGTTCTTCCGTTTGTCATTTTTAGAGAGCTGGTGTTAGCGAAGTGCCGTCGTTGGTCCGTTGTCGTATCATTGGTCGTTGCGGAGTTCTACGTAGATTGGTAATAGCCGGTTTTTTTGAGGAAGTCGAGAAGTGAGCCTTTCCTGTCTGGGTCATTGGATAATTTATTATCAGATGTTCAACTGACATTTTGGGAATCCATCACGGGATCCGAGAACGTGTGAAAATGTGATGTAGCCGCAGCGTAATCTGGACAGTACTCTGTGGTCCTTCCAGTCGAACCAGCTTTTCGTCTCTCGTTTTATTTTGTGTAACAAAAGGTCTCGGGTATTGTTTATTGTTGTTTCACATCAACATGCTGGATGAAGCCTGAATGATGTTAACCTTATCAACTATAAAGAAAAAAATACATTCAAGCATGGCATAACATTTAAAAAACATATAGTATGTATAGTCAGTTGCTGGCCAAAGATGCAACTCTATTGAATACTCTCTGCAGTCCGTAAATCGCACCTTCTTCTTCTTCTTCTTCTTCTTCTTCGCATTTCAAGCTTATTGCATATCGCATATTAGCTTATTGCGTGCTCTCAACTTAGTGTTCTAGATGCACTTCCACAGTTATTAATTGAGAGCTTTCGATGCGTTTACCATTTTTGCATTGGTATAATTGTATGGCAAGTCCAATCATACTTCTATGCCCAGGGAAGTCGAGAAATTTTCCAACCCGACAAATTCCTAGACTGGACCGGGAATCGAACCCAGCCACCTCCAGCATGGTCTTGCTTTGTAGCTGCGTCTTTACCGACTGAGCTAAGGGAGGCCCCAGATCGCACCTTATGCTCCACAATTTGTGCGACGTAGAGGCAGTCTTAGCATTAGGTTGTTACGAAGCGGTCGGTGTTGAACATTCAGGTCAATTGGGTTCTTTAATTTTGAAAAATATATCGGTTTATATCATCTGAAAGAGCTTCGTTTTCTGAGCACAGCGATATTTTTTTCAACCTCACGCACTTTCATCTCGATTTTTAAGTCATGATTTAAAGCAAAATAATAACTTCACTGTTTGTCACTAAACTGACAAACTGACAGCTCGCTCCCATACAAAGTGACACCGAGGGGCGCTTATTAGGTGATTTTTGCAAATGTAATCGTTATTTAAAATAGTTCCAGTGTGCCAAAATTGATGAAATTTTGGGTTTGGGTTCCATTTTTAATGCAGATTACGAATATGCATTTACCTCAACACCCTTAAAGAACCCAATTTGCCTCAGGATAGCCTCGCAATCTGTCTTTCCCTGCAGGATATCGGCCACGGTTAGGGCTCTGTTTGTGTACCTTCTAGTCCGGAGAGGTTCTAGGTCGATAAGTTGACAACGCAGGGTGTCGACTACCTGGAAAAACCTGGAAAATCAGGGAATTCCTTTTTAGACCTGGAAAATCAGGGATTGTCAGGGAATTTCATTCAAAGTCAGGGAAATATTTCTTTATGACAGAAACATATTAATAAGTATGGCTGACTTCTCTATCTTTTTAAACAACTTTATTAAAAACTCGCTTGTATTTTTAACATGGTTTTCAATTTCAAATTTTAAATAGGGTTGCGAAAGTGTGGTTGTTCAACGCTTGATGTTGCAGTTTTGCAAGTGGAGCAAAAGCTACTC